CATACACTTCTTCCCGATTTTTGTTTTGTTGTTGGGTAATTAGTGCATTTTTTTACATGAGTTCTTACTTAGTTACACTTACACACTTCCAGGAAAATAACTCAACCAAATAGATAATGCGTCATAATTTCAATAAATGTAGAAATACATTTTTTTGGTAATAAAAGTAGATATCGAAACTAGTAAATTCATAATCTGACACATACTCACTAATTATTTGAAAAAAGTTGGGGAAAAGAGATAAATATGAATATACCTTTTGAAATCAATCCACGCAATCTGATAATTTTTAGTTTCAAATCACACATCATATCCAACACAAAGCTTTTCAGTGGAAGTCCTATGAATATCATTCTGATTTTTTTTATAAAAAAAAGAATAAACAAGTTAAAATTCATTACTACTGTTTAATCTCATCGAGTATCCAAAAGATTTGACTACTCCCACTCCTTGTAAACCACCTAATTATTACATAAACCAATGATGATTCCTAAATCCAAGTTTATCATACTAATCTTCCCCCAATATGAAGATATAAAAAGATTGAACATGAGATAAGACTCTTATCAGCTAAATTCTAAAATATAGTTTTACTCCAAAAAGAAAAGATAACAAATATGGTGAAACTGAGATATAAATTTCTGGAAAAAGTAAAAGTAACCACCAAAAACTGATGACTGTAATAAAGACAGAATCCACAAGCAAAATGCTATAATACGATTTTGAATTTAGATGTCCAAAAAAAAAAAATGTAACACGACACCTAGTGATAAGGCCTGAGTAGTGATTGTCCCATTAAAAAATCACTTTCAAGTTTCTATAGGAAGGTAAAAGTTAAAGAGTATGATTTTCCAAGTATGAGGTTATAAATTAACACGTGCAGTTGCAATTTCTCAAGTCTTTGACGTCAAATCATGAGATAATATAGATTTCGACAATTTTAGAAAAATATTTACAAATCCAATTCAAATCCAAAACGCGTGTCTATGTAAAATAAGTATGATTTTTTTTCTTTTTATATCTAAGATAAGGCTACAGAAAATAACCTAATCAAGTAAAAAAGAAAGACAAATTTACCTTTAAAGATTCAACTTTTTCCTTCATCTTTCTGATGCAAATAATAAAAACTCTGTATTAACTTTACATCTGGCGACTTTGCTGCACACTGCTTAGTTAGTTAAGCATGTGTCAGTAAATGTTTTGAGTCTTTA